CTTAGTCTTCTGTACGGGCGGAGGCATAGGTTCTGGCGTTGCTGTCGGGGCTGCCCCGCGAATCCGCACACTTCCATCTTTCAGCGTCTCCGTGATGATAGGGCTTGCGGCAGGGCGAAATCGATGTTCTTTAGAATACCTGCCAACGTGGCCACCGTGGCATTGAAAATTCGCCAAAAGAAGGAAATAAGAGCTACAACTCACCGATTCGCGTATATAACTTTGGCCTCACGGTTCCCCTTCCACAACGACGCTCGCAGTGTGAACGCGAACCAGAAAAGCAAAAGAACGAAGACAAGCAAAGCAAGCCTCTTGAAAGGTGATGGAGTTGGTGGATTGAACCTTGGGTCTACAGACGGATGGTCACTGTCGTCATGTCCACTTGGTCTGACATCCTTTTCAGGAGTCACTACAGTGTCAGTGTCGTCGTCGCTAGTAGTCTCATCGCCATTCTGTGTGAGAAGGGCCTTCTTGTCGTTGTCATCGTCGAGATGGGCGTTCGACATTGGGGTCGGCTACGCCTGAAAGCAGGAGGAGAAGGATAAATTGATGTCACAGTTGCGGTAACTGGTTGACCGTAACTTTGTTTGGTTTACGATCAGGTCGCAAATAAACCGGATCAATCCTTGATCTTATCTCCCTCTTCTTCTTTCCGTCTCCCAACTGGAAGACAATCAGAATCTCAGCTGCAACGTCGATTCTTTTCCAGGTAAGTATATTTCTATGTAGGCGGATTTTATCGATTCTCTGCCATTGTTTCTACCGCTCACGTCACCAGTGACCCACCCACGCTCCCTTACCGTATGAGTGACGAAGTAGCTGAAGGTCTATGTAAAGATAGATATCTCGTTACAAAGCCCGAGCCCGCACATCAGTAAGCATGATTTCTCGCGGAACAAAGGGTTTATTCTTGTATAAATAAATGTTGAGCATGGCCACCAAACATCTCGCCATCCGTGGTCTTCTCTCACTGGTACTTTCGCAATCCCTCATCCTCGATAGCTCACAATGTCGAGCACCACCTTGCCATATTTCCTCACCGACACTTCTCTACATCCTTCCTTTGAGGAAGACGTCAGAGACGTTCACTTAATTTACGATTACGATGCCCACGACAAACAAGGGAATCCTGAGAAATGGCGTTACGAGATGTGGTTCTTCTCAGACACCCGCATCGTATACGCAATTCACAGTGGCCCAATGGCGGGTAGAAACAACTACCAAAGAGCCACATACCAGTGCATTCGTCCTGGTGAGCTTTGGCAGATAAATTGGTTGGAGGAGACGGGGACCATCTGTTCAATCGTGTACGATATCCCTCGTCAAAAGATCACCACCCTCATTGGGTTCTCGAA